GCTGAGGAGAGGGGCAGGACCCCCTCCCGCCACCTGCTGGCAACACTCTGCCTCATGCACCCCAGGAGACCACTGGCCTTCTTGGCCACAAGGGCACACTGCTGGCTCATGCTTAGCTTGTTGTCCACCAGGACTCCCAGTCCTTCTCGGCAGAGCTGCTTTCCAGCAGGTCAGCCTCCAGCCTGTCCTCATGCCTGGGGTTATTCCTGCCCAGGTGCAGGACCCTGCACTTGCCTTTGTTGAACTTCAGGAGGTTCCTCTCCGCCCAGCTCTCCAGCCTCTCAAGGTCCCTCTGAAAGGCAGCACAGTCTACATTCTGTGTGTCAGCCCCTCCCCCCAGTTTAGTATCCTCAGCAAACTTGCTGAGGGTGCACTCTGTCCCTTCCTCCAGGTCATTGATGAATATGTTGAACAAGACTGGGCCCAGCACTGACCCCTGGGGGACACCGCTAGCTACAGGCCTCCAACTAGACACTGTGCCACTGACCACAACCCTCTGAGCTCTGCCATCTAGCCAGTTCTCAATCCACCTCACTCATTCATCTACTGACCTTGATAATTAAACAACTTAGACCTAGATTTAACAAAGCATTTAAGCTCTTAATGCCTTGTTTTTATTAATAGGAGCCTAGGCGCCTGAAAATAGTTTAAACAGTTTGAGCCACAGTTACATGCCAAAGATAGATATCATATGAAATTTAAACTTCCAGCTATGAGAACTGAACCATTGAAATTTATGGATAAACACCCATGTGTCAACATAAGTAGGAATATTAAAGGCATTCACAAAACCAAAAATACTCTCATAAGTATCACTTTAACAAAGCCCTTTGATTTTTCTGTTTAACCTTTTCTTTACAGAATAAAGCAGAAGAATTAAAACTGTGCATGCAGGTTCTTACCTTCTGTTCCAACCATTAAAATGGATCAGATATTCTGGAATCTTTCTGCCTTTCTCATCTTTTCCAACAACAATATCAACAATCTGAAAGAATTATTGAATATTGTATATTAAAAAGATCAAAAGAAAGTGAACTTTCTAGCATTTAGGGAATTTAAGCATGTGGAAAAAACAGGCGTTTATTTATGTAAAAGAAATATTCCTAAACTTTTGTTAGTGAATATTGATATGAACAGAGGATATGGATTATACTTCAATGGCTAAAGAAGTTGCCAGCTTTTTTTTTTTTTGTTAAATTTAGAGGACTTTAAAAACTGACGACCGCTAACCACCCTAACCCATTTCCAATGCTTTCAAGATAGAACTGCAAAACAACGTACAACCACAATATAGATAGGCAGATATACCACAGCTGGACAAGTAACATGTTCTACTGTGCTCTCTCTCTCTCTTCAGATCCTCAAAGCAGGAAACAATGTAATGCTATATATAAACCTCAGAAGTACTGCTCTATTGAGCAACATTGCATTTATTTTTTTCCCCTTTCACCCATGTAAAATACTCCTCTCTGGCAGACAACAGCTTGTTTTGACCGAACCAGGATGAGTATAACCATAAGCAAGAAGCCATGATTCTTGCTAGTGGCATTTTCTGACCAACTATTTAGGTGTGATCTTTCACCTTGTGGAAAGACAGAAAGACACATTACTGTTGCTTTCCTTCGTCTTGCCAGGAAGCATAGATTCATTGTCAAAAAACAAACAGACAACAAAAAAAGCAGAAATAGTCAGTCTGAAAGGAGCTGCAGCTCAAGAGAAAAAGATATTTCAGAGGGATCACTTCAGAACTATCTAGCCTGACAGAGCCAAGGACAGCTTTGCTGGAGGTTCGTGTTTCAAAGTAGAGAAGAAAAGGAATTATTAATTTGCGCACCTAGGTTAGCTACAGGGCTAGCAATTATAGCGCAGGAGGTTTGGGTGGTCAGAATGTAGGGCTACGCACACTAACTAAAGGGCAGCTCAAAATACTAGAGGAAGAAAAGGAGGCGTTCCTGATCAAAGAAGTCTGAAAACACTGACATACATTACTAGCAAAGTTGCAACAAGAACTAAGAATATGGTGGGAGATCCAGTTGCCATATCATTTTTCATCATTCACAGTATCTGAAAAGAACTCCGCTTACAAGTCAGGTAGAGAACGTTTAAGACTAAAAATTACTTCAGTGGTGTCCCACTAGCACCCAAAAAACAACATCACGTTTGCATAAAGCTGTACAATTATAATCATTACTTTTAAACCAGGCACAAGTGAGTCAATGAGCTTTTATCCAACAACTTACAGTCCACCACTCACTACTACGTTATTTCCGTATACCGTCCTGTACCCTCAGTACCATTTAAACCACTCCGAAAAGCGGGGAGCGTGCCAGGAAGGGCAGGAGAGCAAGGC